AGGATATAGCAATAGATGATAGGAAACCTGAAAAAATGGGTATAAATAAGTGAGTGGAAAAACAAAGAAACAGGAAAGAAAGTAGAATAAAAAGGGCAAAAAAAAAGACCGAGGAAAAAAATGGATATTACAGTATTTTTATATAATGATCGTGACTCAGGTATTGAATTTTTCATCAACGGGTTGGTTTTGAAAAAGGAAACATTTTATTAAAATGTTATTTAAAGAAAAATTTACTGAAAAAGATGTGGAAAGGAAATCAATAAGTATAGATCACTTACTTATAGAACAAAGAATGAAATAAAAACTGATTACTAATATTTACTAACAATAGGACTAAATTTTAATCAACCTTATAGATTGACACTATCTATCAATACAATGACAAACCGCATAGGAGAAAAGATAAAAATACGTAAATAACTAATATTATCAATGGCATAGCAAATTGATATATTTAGTATCAGCAACAGTCATTGGAACCGTATAGAGAAAAACTTTTATTGATATTTCAATAAGAAAGAATGTAGAGGAAAAGAGAGAGGAGAAAAGAAAAAAAATAAACGAAAAAAGAAAAAGTGACCGAAAAAAGGGGAAAAAGTGCCTAAAATATTTGTAAAATATAAGCATCATAGTATTTTTATATAGGAATCATGGCTCAGGTATTAAATGTTTTTATCAATGTGTGATGAACAAATAAACTTATATGCTTCTAGTCAATTTGTGACTACATACTATGGGCAACTGCACAAACGCATGAATATTAATAAGATATTTAAACCATCACATAGATTATAGTCGGTATGTTTCAAAGAATAACCGGACGGAGTAAGATATAAAGTTGACCAAGGACTACCAATGGATGAAAGGGAAAAGAAAAAAAATAAGGATCCTCTTGCTTATACGAAGTAGAGAGAAAACAAAAATCAAGTAAAAGATATAGCTCAAAAAGAAACAGAAGAGAGGAAAAATCAGAAGAAACAGGAAGAGAAAACCTAAGATATTGGAAAATGCATCATGCACAATGAGAGGAACCTGCCTTGGCAATAAATAATTCCTAGTACATAATTAAAAGTTAAAAGGTAAAACAAAGATGAAAAGGATACAAAATAACTTATTATATGAGTAAATAAATCTCAATTGAATTGATGAGAGTAAAAATATTAGGGATTTGTAATAACATAAACTCATGGGAAAATATCGTAGGCAAAGAAAGCAAAGAAAAAAACATGATTTAATACTGTAAGAAGGAAACTAATACACACACACACACAAATAAGTCTTAAATTAAAGACTGATCTCAACAAAATGCAAACATCAGAATGAGAAAAAATGGCAAAAAGGGAACAGCCAAAAATTTTGAATGAAATAAAGTAGAGGAAAAAAAAGTATGGAATGAAAATGATACATCCACAGCAATTTTTAGACAAACCATATCAAATTCAACATAGCAAGGTTATTCTTGTTCATCATCGCCATGAGGGGGGAAGAAAGAAAAAATAAGAAGGAAACGAAGGAAAGAAAGGCGGGAGGGAAGGAAGAGGGAAGAGATTGGGAGGGCACATGAAAGGGACGCAGAGTAAAAAAAAAGGACAGGAAAAAAAATAGAAGCTGAAGCTAAAACATTCTAAATAAATTCATATATGTAAGTATGTTACAGAGAAATCAATAAAGTGCAAGTATACATATCAATGCCATTAGAACATAATAAAATACTAAAACCATAAATCAATAGCAATTGTAAAGCAAATAGACAATAGTTATTAATAACATTAGAAAAAAGAAAGTAAAAGCTATTAATAATACCTGAAATTCTGTCAAACTGCTCTAACTGTAAGATATGGACCAACCAGAAAGGAACAAAAGCAGTCAAAGGTTGAAGGATAAGCAAACAAAGTAGATAAATATTAAATAATAGGTACAGGAGATGAAGGCAGGAACGTGTATCGCAAATGTATACAACCTGCAGTATTGATAAATATTAAATGGAAAAATTAGCATGAACAATAGGTAACTTCTAGTAATATGACACGTAATAAAGCATATTCAGCTTACAAAAATTAAGAAACCAAAATTTTTTTAAAAAGTAAAAGATTTTTTTTCTTCCCTAAATTGCCAAGGATTCTAGATAATTCAAGCTGAGAATAGCGAGGATTCCAAAAAATATACAAAGGAAAAAAAATCACCGAATCATTTAATATGTCTATGACAAAAGGAGAACAAATCATCAATCCAGCAAAGCAAAGGAAACTATAGACAAACCAGATCATCAGCACAATAAATGCAGAAAAAAATAAAAAATTACCCATACACACGACATGGAATCAGCCAAGAGAAAATGCACCGACGCAGATAAAGTACTTGCACAAAATACTACAGCAAAGAAAACAGTAAGGGAAAAAACGCGGGGAAAAAAGGGAAAAAAATTAAAAATAACCATAAACAAAGAAGTATAGTAGATGAAGCAGCTGAAGAAAAAACCCAATGAAAAAATAGATAAATAAGAATAATAGCAATAAATTAAGAACAAAACATATGACCCATTAAATATAAGTAGAAACCAAAACGAAGAATGCAAATCAAACCACCAAAGAAGCAAGAAGCAGAAATCAAAAAGACATAAACGAAGAACAGAGGAGAAATAGATCATAAACCGCGAATGAAAATGACAGAAGAATCCAAAAGGGAAAAGGGATAAAATCCTCAGATTTCCACCCAAATCCCAATAATAGAATCAACACTCCAAAACCCCAAAGGATGAGGCGCAACATCCCGGCCAAAACAAAGCGAGAAAGAAGAATCACACGAAGAGGACAAAAAAAAAAAGAATGAGGGGCCCAATAGCGGCGGAGAGCAGAAATGCAAAGAAAGAAATGAGCCTTAAGGCTCCACACGGGGTGTAAGGGGGAAAAATCAATGCAACGCAGCCAACAAAAATGAAGGAAAAACTGGTAAGAAAAAGAAAACTGAAAGAAACGGCAAGAGAATAACAAAATGCAAAACCCAAAAAGCCACCGAAAGACCAAAAAACACAATTTAATATGGTGGCAACTTGCAGTGATCAGTTGCGATGGCATGCATTTTCCTCAATAAAAATTCTGTGAACAAGGCTTAGAAGAATCTTCTCAAATTCTTCCCCATCGGTCCAAGCATGGATTTAGGCCTTGATAAGTTGTGGGTTTTTAGAAATTAAGTCCCACACTGGGAAATTCTTTCTTGGCATGACAAAGTCTTCCTCTTTGAGCTTCAAGCTTGAGCAGTAATCCCCAACGCCATCACCAAGATAAATGAACCTTTTCTTTCCCTTAGTTGTCACTGAAGCTTGGATTCTTTCTACAATCGCACCTGTAAATTGAAATATTATTAAAGTTAGCAAATGAAAAGATCTAATTTTAAAATAATAGAAAAAAAATTGTCCCTTATCCCAAGATGCTCCAAAACTGTCCCAATAAAAAATTGATTTGCATCACTAACAATCCTCAAATCGCACCTAAAGTTTTAAAAAATAAAATACAAAATTACTTACACGGTATATTAATAAAAAGACAAAAAAAAAAAAATTTCGTAGTTTCTAAAAACATTTATTAAAAAAAAGGGATTAAAGAGTATACATGCCCAAGAGCACGGGCAGCTTTAATGGCAGGGACAACTCTTGGATATATAGGAGTCCGTTTTAGGACCTCAACAATGTCTTCAATGGTTTTTCCTTGTTCATGAAGCTCTTTCATCATCCTATCCTGTATATTTATCATCAAAATTATATACATCAGGATATCAATCATCATATGGCATTGATGTTATTATATCTTTTCTTTTTACGCTAAAACATTAGAAACCAAAAACAAAAGCAAAAAAATACAAAACTCGTTTTTTTCATGGGGATTTTTTTAGTACTTTCGCACTCTTTTTACCCTAAATCCTGCAAAACTAGAAACAGAAAGGCTAACCAAACTCAAGAAAAACATGCACATGAAAGATTTCGAAATATATACGTACACCTGTAATATTAGACACAATGAAGAGTTGAGTTAATTGGTTACCATGAGAGAGTTCCATGGCATGGTGGGAAGAAGATGATTGAAGAGAGCGGTAGCGCCCAACTCGTCGACGACAAAGTTGTCGCTGTCGCATTCGATGATGGTCTTGTCGGAGTCGAAAATCACTACGATTCCCTCCAGTATCTCTTTTGCCAAACGAACGGATTTTGCAGAGTAAATAGTAGTGGAAGAACATTGAGAAAGTTGGTAATTAGTTTCTTGCCCTACTAGCAGTTTGCTAGCTATATTATGAACTAATTAGCAATCTAAATGCGCTGAGACTTGAGAGGAGGTCAGGGTGCATGCTTATAAAAGGCATCGAGAAGAACGAATACCACTTGGAGTTAGGAGTAGGATTATAATTCGTTTTCTTTGTGAGTAACAATATCACTAGGATTCTAATATCACAAGAGATATACGGAGATTAAACGGGGGCATGCAAAATAAGAGAAATAATAATATTCTAGTTATTAATAATAATACTAATAATAATAATAATAATAATAATGTCGTTTCTTGTCGCTTTAAAAGTGGACGTCATTTCTTGTGCTTTTCTTTCTTTTTTTTTTTTTCAAGATAATGTGGGTTCCTAGTTACTTGATATTAAAACGGCAAGTCGTTCTTTTAGATATTCTTTTCGTTGTATTTGGTCTCAAAAACTAGACCTTCTAATTTCTATGTACGATCGTTTGCTTTCTTTCATTAGAAAATAATATACATGTCGTTTATCGTATAAATTAACTGCACTTTCTTTTGAAAAGAAAGCTTCCACGTACTGTCTTCCCAAATTGACTTAGAAAAATTCGGGATTCTCGTTAATTAAGGTTTGTACTTTTTTTAGAAAAGAAGTACCGTCTTCTAAGAAAAATTCGGGATTTATAAGTCGTCAACCTTTAACTAGCTGTAATTTCTATTGCTTTATATTCTCCCCAAAAAAAAAAAAAAAAAATTGCTTTTATAATCTGACGAACGCATTGAAAAGCTCTTGAAGAAGGAATCATGACAATAATATTGTGTGTGTATCCTGAGGTAGGAGAAATACATGATTGCCCATCAATCTATCTCCACGCGAAAACCAAACACTTTTCAATCCAACTTACAAAGATGCAGAGCTATACAAATGCCTTGTGGCATGGAATCCATGAATGGCTATTAAAAAATGATGACCAATCTTCACAAGCACAACATAATGCGAAGAAAAAAGTTGAACCTTAATCCAGGAAAAATTCCAATTACCTCTGAGATGGTAGAGATTGTAAAACATACATAAAGAATCGCAAAATTAATCATGGCATGAGGCGCTGAAATCCAAACGATTCGGTGCCAAACTTTCAACTATTATTCTCAAGGAGAACCAATCCAAACTTCAACCTCAAATCAGTGACCAGAAGAAGATACGATAACATTGTGCTCTTTCAAACGCTTCTGGAACTGAGTCAAACGAGTTTGTAATTGCAGGATGCCTGCAGCCTTCTGAGATAGAATGGCATTCAATCTAGAAATATAGTCATCGAGCTGATTCCCTGGTTGGTCTGCTTCAACCAATAGATTCATCTCCTGCGCATTAAAAAAAGAATGAGATAAAAGTGTCTTAAGTGCATTCATCAACAGGACATGAGAAATATATCAAAGCTTACTCAACAAATCTATATACTTTCAATAAATTGAGATATCCACACTAAGGGAGGCTACTTTAATGAATAATATGTACCTCTTTAACAATATTCATAGTCTCTTCCACTTGTTTCCGGTGAGCATTTACAAGATCTTCTTCTTCCTACAAATAGGACACATTTGCGTTCAGAAACTTGACATTGCCAAGATCGTTGGTAAAAAAATTCGGCAAATGACAACGATCGTTGGTAAAAAAATTCGGCAAATGACGTAGTTACCTGTAAAAGGGCACTTAAATCATCATCTGAATGTGAGTTCCTAGGGATCTCATTCCATTTTGTCTGAGTCTGACCATTAGGTCTCCGCAATTTATCATCGGTAGTTGGAATGTTGTATGGCTCAAGCTTGCCATTCTTCTTCCATACGGGTTTTGGTGGCTCATAAGTCTCTTCTGGCGCATCAAAATCATCACTTCCATCTTGGTCATCCTCAAAATTGGAGGAAGTAGGTAAAACAGAAGATAAGGGCACTGTTGTTGATTCCTTAAGGTTTAAGGTTGGAGGCAACACGTCCTTCTTTGGGTTGCTCCCCTTTGACAGGCTCTTCACTCTGGATTTTATTTTCATGGAAATAATAATTCATATATTAGCGGATAAAAGGTTTAGTAAAATCAATACTAGAAGTGCTTCTATCAGAGTTATCTTTTTTTTTACCTGTCTGCATATCTCAACGTGTTGAGAGTATGTTCGCACGATCCTGAACTTGGTGATATGCAAGATATCATCACAGTACGTGAATTGCCAACAAATGAATCCCTAAGAACTTCAGTTAATTTACTGCCTCTGAATGGAATATGACCCTGGTCATTGTCAAGAGCTCTGATGCATTCCTTCAGAGCAAGCAAACTCTTGTTGATTTCAGCACCTTCCATTCTGTTTAAATTATTAGAAACAGCCGGTGAAAAGAGCAGACTACAGACTGACATGAAGCTCTGACATGACAATTAGTAGCTTAAGGTGCTCCAGAAACATTAAATGCTTTGATAAATGATTTAAGGGGTACTAATTAGATAACTAATACTGTAAATGCCGTCCTACTCCTGAAGAGATGTTGTCAAATGAAAGAAAAAAATATCCTTCCTTTCCTAATACCTGGTCTGTTTATCATTATCTGTAGTGTCAGCACCTCGTTCACTTCCAGCAAGGTCTATGAAGGAGAGCTTGCCAACAATACGGGGAGGCTTTGATTCACTGCCATCGGCTGATCTCTTTATAGCAAGCTGAAGTATAGCGTGCGAACGAGATGATTCTTCATTTGCACCAGTTGTCCCAGTACTTCTGGTGGCACTTCCTTTCTCAATGAGCTCCCTGATTGTCTCTACATCTGACACTTTGTATTCTTGTAAGCCCACAATGCAAACTTGCTGCTTGCCGTCCTCTCTCATACAAAGTTTTCTGGTGAAAGTAGTATCTTAAGTTTACAGCAAACTTTGATACAATATAAAAGACGAATGTGAAAATAACTTACTTTCTTTCATTGAGGAGATCAAAAAGCTTTCCCCCATATATTTCAAAGAAGCTCACAAACAACTGAAATCCTTGGCTGCGGTAAGTGTGGTGCATCAACCTTAAGATATCTCGTGATGCCTTAAGAGGCAATGGTTTCATGGTATAAGTCTTTCCACTACCTGAATGGGGAATAAAAAAATAATACAACAGAAAGAGTTGAGTAACCTAATTAGGCATCTGCCAAACAAATCACTATAGGGAATGGCTTTAGCAATTTATTAAAATAAAAACATCAACAAAGATTCTGAATTCAAAATTTGCAAATCAAATCTACACATAACCGCTGATTTGGAAAACAGTTAACTACCTGTTTGTCCATACGCAAAACAAGTTGCCTTTGTACGTTGGAAAATTATAGGAACAATGGGCTCCACGGTCTCACGATATACCTATATTTAACAAAAGAACACCATGATAAAGATATTACAACCTGAAGCATATTAAGCACGTTTCCATACTATTATATCTGTATGATACTATTTCCTTTGCTGCTATTTAATTAAATGTGACATATTACCTCATCATTGGACACCTCCTCATTGAGCACTGCATCAAAAACAAATTCATGCTTCTCAACATATTCTGTCAGATCAACCTGCAGAACATTGAGATTGAATAAGAAACCTAAAGTGCTAAAACAATTAACAACCAAACAGCTGGACATGTCTGGAGGATAAGGGAAACGTGTAGGTCACAGACTGTTCTCTTGAACAATGAGATACAAAAATGAAATTGTTTAGTTTTAATTTATGACTTAATTTTAATTGCCTTGTCACGAAATTTACTTGTGTCGGCCCATTGAAACCACACTGAAAAGAATAACTTCTATTGTGTCTGTCTCCGAAATTCGAGTAAGTGTTATTTACCTTAAGCTTCGTCTCATGAACTGTCAAACAATTGGAATGTGTTTCGATAATATCTTCCTCATTTTTAGCCAACTCCTTTTTGTTAAGTGGTCTCTTCCGTACCTGTAACCCAAGCATCAGCATTCAACATATAAAATCACTCTTATCCAAAGAAGCCACTTCACAAGCAGATGCTTTACAAGCTAGAAATTAGCAACTATCCATTGTATAAGCAATGAATTTTTTTTTAGGGTTGAAGCCAAAATCAAAAGGAAAAAAAAAAGAAAAAAAATAGGTGTCAAGAACCTAGAAGGAATTTCATGAGAACATAAAAAACATACCACAACTTTGATCTTCGCAACAGAACTGGCTTTCTCTTTGTCTGCAGCAAAACTTTTCAGGAGGCTGTTTTCTGGCAAACCACGAGTTCTTCCAGTTTGATTGTTTTGTGAAATATATGGCTCGGAGTCGTCAAAACTTCGACCTCGAACAGGATTATATAAAAAGTTACCATCATACAGGCTGGAAACTGGCATCTATTGACAAGATAAACAACAATATAAGCATAAGTATGCATGCGAAGTTTTAGTTTCTTACTTTTTCATTTCATACTGAAGAGTAAAGAAACTCTCACTATTCTGCTGTGAACTCCCAATGCGCATGCTTAACAACTTGAAAGGACATTAGCAAATGTACAGGACAAGCTAAAACTTTTGTCTTAATATTCAATTAGCCAGAATGGTAATTGTAATAAGAGAAGTATCTTACACACTAGCAGAATGTCAGAAATCAGACAGTGAAGTGAGAAGCAAGCAAAGCATACGGCCATTAAAATTTTAAACAATAGCTGACTGAGATCTCTCTCCGATAAGAAAAAGGGCATTGAAGAAATCATTATAAAACAAATTATAAGGTTTTCATAAACAGATTTACAGCATCATTTCATCAAAATCAGACGTTGCCAACTGATGGCCATCCCTGCATTACACATAAGAAATGCGGATACATATGATGTGATAAAATCCAAACGCAAAATGCATTTTCACATTTTAAGTTGTGAAATTTGATTGAAATGCCAGATGCCCACCTCGGGAAGAAGCTCGGTATCGGAAGAATGCAGATCCAGGAGGCCAGGACTGAACTCACTGGGCAAATCTTCGCCGTTCTTCCTCCGCAAATTGCTCGGAGGCGTCGTTGGCTCCATGAAGAACTCATTGAAGCCCCTCTGCGAACTCCGATACATCCTAGACCCCTGCCCTCCTCCTCCTCCACCACCACCGCCGCCATAGAAACCATAATCCTGCTTCCAATTCGACCATCAAAATATAACACAGTAAAACATCTGAGATTCAAAATCATAACCTCAGATCTTAAATCAGCAAACTTTGCATCAAAACCCCCCATTGTCTGCGCAATCGAACACACCAAGTCCTCTATCATCGCTTCACGCTTCATCGATTTTCTCGGGAATTAAACAGACGGTAAAAACAACGAAAAACAAAATGAGAAAATAAAATAAAATTTTAAAAAACAAATCGAACCTGAAGAGGAGGAAGAGCACCGGAAGCGTTGGAAGACTGAAGGTGTTGAAGACCGGCTGACTGGAGCCACCTCCCATTGGACGAGGTCTCCAAGAAGTTGTCGGAGTATTGCCTCTGATGGTGCACCCCCGTCGCACCAGATCTCAGCCCTTGTCTCCCCATACCATTCATCTCTTCCTCTCTCTCTCTCTCTCCTCTTTCTCTCCCTAGAAAAACCTAATCAAATCTCTCTCGGATCGGAGATTTAGAGCTACAGAAAGCCAATCCTTCTCTGATATTACCAAAGCAACGAAATGTCAATCTCAAAACTCAGAGAGCTGAGCTTCTTCACTTAGATTTCTTATCTTAAAAAAAAAAAAAAAAAAAAAAAGATATCTTTTTTTTTTGTTTTTGATTTTGTTTTGGTGCAGAAAAGAAAAGATGTAATGGAGGCTCTACTCTGCTCCTCGTCTTTGTTTGAGTAAACCCAAAGATATAGGAAAGAGAAACAAAAAGAGGAGAGAGAGAGAGAGAGAGAGAAGAGGGGCTTTGAAATTTTGAAGAAAAGTTGGCACGTGCGAGGCGGATGGCGTTCTCACGTGCGTATTAGTGGCGTGTGTGGGCTTTGTTTAATCGTTATGGAGGAGTAAACGACGACGGGTCGTCTGGGCCCTCCCACTGGCATTTGAACTCGGCCTCATTTATTTCCCACCTCGCCACGTGGTAGGGCCCATTCGGCTTTTATATTTCTTTATTTTTATTTTTAAATTTTAATTTGCATTTTTTGTATCTGGTTCGAGTGTTCAGCCAGTTGCGCGCTTGACTTCGTATTCAAATTTCATCAGCCACGTGTTGCGATCTGCCGGTTCTTGGGACGTGGGCACCACAGTTATAGGATCGAACGGTGGAGTTTGAAACGTACGGCAATCGCAGCGGCGATATCGGCGAGAGTCACAAGGAGTTGTGGGACCCACCTGGGGAAGGAGTGAACTGTGAAGAACCGGCTTAGGGCTTTTTTTTTTTTTTTTTTTTTGGGAGAAAGAATGAATTAGGCTAAGATTTTAGATGAATTAAAATTAATAGGTTAATAGTTTATATAAGTTAATAAATAGGCTAAATTATTATTTTTGTCCATAACTAGTCTAGTTATGAATCATAACTTGACAAGTTATTGTCCATAATTGTCTATAACTTGTCTGGTTATGAATCATAACTTAACAAGTTTATCTATAATTTATCTGATTATTAACCATAACTTGATAAGTTATAACTTATTAATTTTTATAACTAAAAATTAGCCTATATACTTTCTTAAACTTTTTATATTGACTTATTTTCTATTATTTTCCTTTTTTTTTTTGTCTTTTCAAGTTTTGTTTGTTTTTATGGGCTTGTCCAATTTTGTTCTGGATTTTGGAATCATCTGTTTGGTTTACTAGGCCCATAGCGTGTATCAAGTTCAAGCTTGGTGTTAATTTCTTTTAATTATTTCTTACTTTTATTTATAAAGAGTAATGTATATAACATGTGAGTTATTATTCTTTATTAATAATTTTTTTCTTTTTTTTAAAGATTAATATCTTATTTTAAAGATTAGTGTGAAAATACTTTAAACACCCACTAATATAAAAACTACAACTCATATATATCATATTAATTAGTACATAAAAATTAACAATAAATTAGTAGGTGTTCTATTCACACCCTATGTTTACTCTTCACACAACTCTAAAATTAAAAGTTTCTTATTACAAAAAATCCCTTAAATAAAATGACAAAAACAGACAACAAACTTAATTATATAATTAATTTTATTACAAAGGAAACTAATAGAGAGTATTTTTTTCTCTCCACATACCCCACATATCATATTTTAAATTATTCTATTTCAAAAATTCATAACAAATAATTTTCACGTTTTCATTGACTATTTTAAAAAATTACATGGAGGTAGTTCAATTTTCTTTACTATTTGTTATATGATGTTTTTTTTTTTACTTTTGGTTTTTGTTTTGTGTTTACATTTGTTTTGTAATCAATCTTTTAAACAAATCATTTCATTTTCCCCATTTTTTATAATGCAGACGATAAGGTTTTTCCCCTTGGTTTTTTAATGCTGACTCGATGTATATCCGATGAATACAACGCAACTCAATTTGCATTTTTTTTCTTTTTTCATTTATTATTTATTATTTTTTGTTTCCCTATTGAACTTTAAAAAAACATTTTTTTGCTAAAGTTTTTTTAAAAAAAAAGATATAAATAAAAGATAATATTAAGAGATACTTTTATTTATGTGGGGTATGTTGTTAGAGAGGGTGTGTACCCAAAAAAAAAAAAAGGAGGAGGTGTAAATAAATTTATCCTTAATAATTTTATGAAAATAGTTAGGAATAATTTTGAAATAATAAAGGTGTATAAAAAGAAATTTTAATTATTTAAAAATTATAAAAGGTATGAAAATAGTTAGGAATAATTTTGAAATAATAAAGGTGTATAAAAAGAAATTTTAATTATTTAAAAATTATAAAAGGTGTGTAGTTAAAAAGAGGGTGCCTTTTAAAATTTACGTAAGAATATCCGCACTCTAATGGCATGTTTACTTATCATGAGTAGGGAATAAGAATTGGGATTCAGAATCAACTCTATGTTTACTTATCCATTTATATCTTGGAATGGGAGTGAGAATGTGTGGGCCCCACACCAATTTGGGATTGAGAAATGGGATTAGCACTCCCCCTACCCCCCCACCGGATTGCCACTCCCAATCCTGATATTAAATGCAAAATTATGAATTTACCCTTAATTTGTCTCATTTATTTAACTCTCTACGGTTTATTTCTCTCTTTCTCTCTCAGCCATTTACCATCCCCTCTTATGCCGTGGTTCTTCAATTTGCAGTTAAGCCATAAATCATACTCTATTTTTGTTTTCGTTTTGTTTTGTTTTTTTTGTTTTTTTTTTTTTTTTGTGTTGAACAGGTTGATAATGCTTTAATTTAGCTAGTTTTGTTGTTCCTTCCCACGTTGATAATGCTTCTAGCTTTTCAATTTTTTCCCTTATTTTAATTTAATTTTTTATCCCTCTTTATTTCTTTAAACTCTTAAATTTGTTTTATTTTAGGAATTTCTACTATAAGATTAGAAAACTGAAACTATTAATAATTTTTATCCCTCTTTATTTCTCGTGATTCTAGTACTCTAGTTTTTTATCTTTTTTTCTTATAATTTGATTCTTGTGTTATGCCTATTGTTGTTCATTTTTATAATATACAATGTGATACTAAATCTAATTTTATATGTTGATAATGTAGAGTAATCATATCTAGACTTTTAGTGCGAAAGAAGAGAGTAGTTGTAGTGATAAAAGAGATAGTTATGATGTTACAAATGATTATGGTTGTGTGTGCTGCTATGTATACCTATGTTTCTATTTATTATGAACGAAGGATACGAAGTCCAAATATGGTTATAAGGGTTTATCAACAATTAGGTCACTTGTATGATTTGGTTTATGAGAGTGATATCAAGTGTGTGGCACAATTAAGAATGGATAGAGAAACGTTTAGAAGATTATGCAAGCTTCTATGTGAGAAAGGAGGTTTGACAAGCACAAGAAATGTATCTGTTGAGGATATGTTTGCAATGTTTTTGCACATCCACTGCTGACAAAGATTTAGCTGGATTACAAGCCAACTCGTATCAAGAAATGCTGAAAATTGATGGCTTAGATGATGATCAAGTTCATGATGCCACCAATATTTTAGCAACAAAGCTTGATTTGCTATGTGTATTCTACAACATTCTGGATCAACTCAAGAAGGGATACATCCTCAAAATTCTTAGTCGTGGGGTTTAAGTGTTAGATTAGCCAATTATTAGTTTACTTAAATTATGTTGGTACTTTGAATTATGCTTAGGATATATTTTTCAATTTATGACTTGGAACTTCTTTTTGAAAGTTTATGACTTAAAATTTAGTTATTTTGTTCTTATTATATTTCATCATCATATTCTTTTCTGGAAATTGAGTTAAAAACTTAGATGATTAATTAGGTGTGATTGAAAAAATATAATTACTAGTTAGTTATTCTAATATTAAGATAGTTAGCATAATATACAAATTTTTTTTTAAAGTTCAACACACAAAAATATACTAAAAGGGTAGGTAAGTAAATTTATAACAATTTATTCCGATTCTGAGTGTAAGTAAACGCATGAATAGGATTGGGATTAATTCCGATTCTGATTCCTGGAACCTAAGTAAACAACTTATTTTGACTCTGATTTTTGACTCCGATTCCTACCCACTCCGATTACGGATAAGTAAACATGTCCTAAAAGGGTATTTTACATTAAAAAAATGTGGTATACCTCTCCCATTCATCTTATTAACGTTGAGTTGACAAAATTACATTTAAAATTGTCTGACTAATGCGTTTTTTTTTTCCTCCTTTTTTCTAGACGTGTGATGCTTTTTCATCTAAAATGTTGGAATGCTTTTCCTTTTATATTAAAATTTTGAATAAAAAAGAAACTACTTTCATTTGCTAAAGCCATAATCAATCTTTAATTCTAGTATCTATAACACATTATTAATTAATCAATGCTAGTATTCCTACCCTCATTCATATATGCATAGACACAAACACACACACACACACACATATATATATATATATATATATATATCTTACTCTTACCTAAAAATTTCAGCAAAAAAACAAATAATCTTACAAAAAAATCACTTGAAAGTCTGTTTATTCATAACTCATAGTAGATATTGTTATTTTGGAGTAAAACTCAAAAAAAAAAAAAATTTTGAACTAAAAATTAAAAACTCAAGTTACAAGTTACAACTTTATTCAAGTTCATGTTCGTTTGTAAAATTTGAGTTTTAACTTGAATTTTAACTAGAGTTTTAACTTGAGTTTGATGCTAAAATCTGAGTTCAAGTTTCTCTTTCAACTCAAGTTCTTAAACTCAAACTCAAGTTAATGAACAATATTTTTTATATTCTTAAAAACATCATAACTTTTTCGTTTTAATTCCGATTGAGATGATTTTTTTCTATGTGTTCACAATGAAGAGACGAATAAAACCCATATACCCTATTAAAATTTTTTATCACCATTGAGTTTTTATTAAAATACTATCTAAATACAAATTCAAGTTTTGACCCACTCAAAACACAAACTTAAATAATTTCTCAATTCAAATCATAACTCAAATGTGCATAATCCAAACACAAACTTAAGTTACAACTTCAACTCAAATTCAACTCAAGATCTACACTCAAATCACCATAACTAAAAAATACAACCGAACAAGCCCTTATATATCCAAGATTTTCTCTTATGAGAGGAAAATGGACTACAACATGTAATTTTTGTAGCTCTTAAACGTGATCCAACAACAAGAAATATTTGCATTTTTAGAGAGAAAAAAAGAAGCAAAATACCCTAGGTCCTGTTCACTTCACTGATTTGAGTTTAGAATTTGAGTTTTGCTATAGTAAAAAGTTCTTAGAAATAGTCACATCTAACTTTTTTGTTACAGTAAAAAACTCTCACATAAAATCACATCTCAACTCAAATCAGCGAAGTGAATGGGCCCTTAATTTTTGCCGCTTTCATTTTCTCTTTCTCTCCCTTTCTATCTCTAGAGTTTTTTTTTTTTTTTTTTGCGCCACTCGCTTTTCTTTTTTAGGGCCGGAGTCCGGTGTCACCTCTTGGCTAGTCGTCAGACCCCCAGCCCTAGAGACAGGGTCCTAAGTCTCATGATAATGATTATGGTGGTGGTGGCAACTTTGTGGATAGAGAGTAGGGATAGGGTTTATTAACCGGCCATGTTGTGCATGCCAGATCTCTGGCGTCTCTACAATCTCAAGATCTCGTTCTTCTCATTACGGTGGTCATGGAGGGAGAAATTGTGCGTGGATGAGCGCTCAACGTCAGTGGTGGAGTAGTGTGGGTCCTCATTGATCTATCCTTTATGATTTTAGTGACCATCTTATCGCCAAGGATCTTGTCTGTGTGGCTGAGAAATTTTGTCTCGTTTTTAGTTTACATTTTGATATAATAAAGGTGATGTTGATTTCACCATTTCAGTTTTTATGTTTTCATCATGTAATAACGAAAATTGTCGTCCCACTTTTCTTTGGTAGTGGTAGATTTACCTCGTTAGGTTTGCTCTTATTTGTGAGTGACCCTAGTGTTCTGAGTCTTTTGGTCTCGGTTGACTGGTTTTATCCATCGATTATAATCGATTTGTTAAACGAGCGTTTGTCACTTGTATTTGCCTAATTATTAATGTGCCGAGCGGATAATTCTCTAATTAGACTCGGCACTCGTATTCGTCTTTGTGCCTCATTTGTCTTTACTGGTGAGTCTAGTTTTATCTGTGGTTAAACATCCTTGTATTTAGTGATCATTTGTAACTATTTTAAAGTATGTATTTACTTAATTATTAAATGAAATTTCTCCACTCAAAAAAATGTTTGCATTTTTTCAAATTTTTTTTCATTAAAAAAATCAACATGCTTTTAGATTTTGAACACCTCGTCTTTAATTAAATTAACAAGCATTATAAAATGCCATAAAAGGGAGACAAATAGTCATGAGGTTTTAGGACATAGGGGGTGGCCGAAGGTATATGGTCGCCTTTAGCACGTCGTTGAGCTCCCAGCCTAAAATTTGATCTTCAAATTTGCTTAGTTTTAGCTTATGAATAATGGTGATGGTGGTTTTTGCGTAAATCTCTTTCTCTCTGTCTCTACTCCGCCGTTCTCAGATCCAGGTGATCTGAGCCCGTCGACACGGTCGCCGCCGTTTCGTTCCGATGTCGGTAGCGATCAGTGAGAGATGGAGAATCTAATCTCTCTAGTGAACAAAATCCAGAGGGCTTGCACGACTCTCGGCAACCACGGCGAAGCCAGCGCGTTGCCTACTCTTTGGGACTCTCTCCCAGCGATCGCCGTCGTTGGTGGCCAGGTCAGCTTCCCGAACCCCCCACACCGACTCGACTCTCTTTCTTGAAGCTCAGATTGAGTTAATTTTTCTATAATCGCTTTGGTTTCCGCGTGATTTTGCTTGAAATTTCTTCTCTGTGAAATGCGATTTCCGTTTGTGATATGTGGTGGAATCGATTTGCATATGTACAGGCTACATTTCTTACACGGAGAAACAAACTTTTCGTGATCAGAACTTGGTCGGATTATATATAGATATTATTTAATTCTTAGTTGATACTTGTATATTTTGCATTTTAGGCAATTTTTTGTATGTTTGATTTATATTAGTACGTTGATGTTATGTTAAATATCAATATATTGATGATCTGCTATAAGATTAGATTTAGTGTGGCAATGAGATTCAATTATATAGAAGATTGTGGGACTGATGCGTGCAAAATATGTGCAGGAATTGTTACTCAGCATCCTCTTGTGTTGCAACTTCATAAGATTTCTGAAGGCAACAGAGAATATGCCGAGTTTCTCCATCTCCCAAGAAAAAGATTTACTGATTTTGGTAATTACTTTATTATGAACTTCCCTATTTGGACTTCTGTTGGAATGTGATTGAATTGATTCCATCTTGCTACCTGTGAATAAAGTTTTACTCAAGCTTCAATGTTTGCTCTTTGTTTTAACTTATTACATACTTCTGAACATAAAATTAACGACCTATTAAATATGTGTGTGTGTATTTTTTTTTTCCTTTCTGGGTGTTTGGAGGCACCACTCCTTTGAGAGCTAAATGTATGTAGTTAATGAGTTATATTCATTTTACATGACGATGTTGATTATATCTGTGAGGCACCACTCCTCTAGTGTTCCAATTCATCTTAGCATCTATTCTCCCAACGGTAAGATTAAGGTTGAATTTGTATTCATTTTAGGGCAGCACACTAGCATAGAAGTGCAGTTTTGTTCTTTATTTCAATTTGACACATTCTACCGTTGCTTGATGATGGCAGTTGTCAACTTGACCCTTATTGATCTTCCCGGGCTTACAAAAGTAGCAGTTGGTAAGTCTGACAACAGTTGCAAGTCATGTTCATGTATATTTTCTCGTTGCAGATGAAAATGGCTATAACAACAGCAGGAATTGCTAATATTGTGGATGGTAAAATGGGGTCTAGTATGGGCAATTCAAATAGTAATTTACCAAATTTTATTTCACCATTTAAGATAATGAAAAAAGTTTTAAGTGAAGGCTCTTCATCCTCTCATGGAATCCCCACTGCAATTGGATCAAGAAGAGTAGGGTCTCCCCAGATGCTCCAAGATGCGGTTTTAGCTCCAAAGTCGTTAATGCCTTTAAAGAGGAGAATGTGAGTTTTAGCTCCTTTGACATCTCAACTGATGAGGAAGTTAGACAGGAGCTGAAAGTCTTTTCAAACTGGCCAACCTTTCCACAGCTTTATTACAAAGGGGAGCTCATAGTGTTCCGATGCTATGATATGGATTTCCGATATAATTAATGTTTCATACTCCAAATTTTGATAAATCTTAGCTACCAATTAGTTTTGCTGCTTGGTTCTTTTTGTCGTAGCTTATGTAGTTATGGATATATATGTTTGCAAGAACTATTCCTTTCTGAAATGATATATCAATGTGTGTATTTACGTGTGTGTGTGGATATGAATGTGTGTATTTTGAAATGATATTTTCATTTGCTCTTTTTTCTTGTGTATAGGTATCAATATGTGAATTTGCTCATTTACGTGTGTGTGTGTGTGTATGGATATCAATAGGAAGCTGAAGACCACCAACTAGGAAGTTGAAGGCCACATATGGCATCAACGCCCAACTTGTTTATGTAACTTGGTCATTTGACGATCAAGCTTTTAATTTGTTTATGGAATGTACATTTTTGTTCAACAAATTCATTAATGCTCATTTTAGTTGTAATTATATTGTGAATGAAGAAATGAAAAAAAAAAGAATTAATTATCATAAATTTATTGTTAAAAAACTCAAAATCATAGCATTATGTTTTTTTAAGTTAAATAAGTATTTCTAAATACCAAAAATAATTATATATATTTAAGTTTCATACTATGTCTATTTTGATCATTTTACATATCCAGAGTAATTCAACCTTAAAATTTACTAAACGCTATTACACTTATTTTAGAATCAGCACAGCTACTATAATTACAGTTTACCAAACACTCAGCTGCTTCTTGTAACAACTACTTCTTCTTTCAGTACAGTTAAAAGTAATTTTTCTAAAATTCACAGCACTACTAAACTAAGTTAAAATCTCATAAAAGATTTCTTCTCATACATGTTTTCTCTTAAATTTTAAATCTCAAAATTAAGAATTATAGTTTGATTTTATCTTTAAAATCACATTTGATAAGCGAGTTAGGAGAATAATTTTAAATATATTCTTTTCTCAAACTTAAATTATAAATTTAAATTTAATATGTGAGAAAAAATATTATAATAAAAAAATTAAATTTATAACTGTAGTAAAAAATTTAAATTGTAATTTGAGTTAAAAGTAAAATAACGTATCCTTCAATTTCAAACTTGCCACTAAATCTCCGAATTTAGTAGCTAAGTTTGAAATTGTAAACTTGAGAGGCCTACTACCGTACTACAATCAGACCAAAGATGTCACATCTTCCTCTTTTATACAGGGGAATCGGTACCAAAATGCAAAAGATGCTTTTTAAATTCGTAAATGCTAGAAGAACGGTGTCGAAGTTTCCACAGTTGAACAAAATCCACCGACTAATCAAACCTTCAAAACCACCCGAAGCTTCTGGAACTGACTCAACAAGTCCAACAAGGCAACAACACCCCCATTACCTCTAACTCCTCTGTCTTATAAACCAAAACCAAACCCCATCCAAATCAATCCGTACATTTCATCTTCGTTTTCTCAACAGCATTCCAGTTTGGTTCAGACATTTTCACAAACACCTGGGCGATGGCTGAAGACGGCGCGGTCACGCTCTACAACAGCAGCGCCATAACCGACGCCAAGAAGAACCCCTTCTCCATCAAGGTCGGAATGGCCCAAATGCTCCGCGGCGGCGCCATTCTCGAGGTCACCAATGTCGACCAGGCCAAGCTCGCCGAGGAAGCCGGAGCTTGCGCGATCCTCGTATCGGAGCCAGCTAATCGCCGTCGCGGAGGCATTTCGCGCATGTCCGACCCCTCCCTCATCAAGGAGATCAAGCGGTCGGTCTCCATCCCCGTGGTGGCGAGATCCAGGGTCGGGCACTTCGTCGAAGCGCAGATTCTGGAAGCCATTAACGTCGATTACATCGACGAGAGCGAGGCTCTGGCCTTGGCCGACGAGGAGAATTTCATCAACAAGCACAACTTCCGAGCTCCATTCATCTGCGGGTGTCGGAATTTGGGAGAGGCTTTGACGAGGGTGAGGGAAGGTGCGGCGATGGTGAGGACTCAGGGGGATTTGTCGGGCTCCGGGAACGTCGCCGAGACCGTGAAGAGCGTGAGGTCGGTGATGGGAGAAATTAGGGTTCTTAACAACATGGACGAAGACGAGGTGTTCGCGTTCTCGAAGAAGATATCGGCGCCGTACGATCTGGTGGCGCAGACGAAACAGATGGGAAGGCTTCCCGTCGTGCAATTCGCCGGCGGCGGGATCGTGACGCCGGCGGACGCGGCGCTGATGATGCAGCTGGGCTGCGATGGGGTTTTCGTCGGCTCCGAGACTTTCAACTCTCCTGATCCGTACAAGCGCGTCAGGGGAATTGTGCAGGCTGTTAGGCATTACAATGATCCGCATGTGCTTGTGGAGACGAGCTGCGGGTTGGCCGACGCCATGGCCGGTCTCAGCCTCAGTGAGGATAGGATCGAACATTTTGGGCATGGAGGTGACTGAAACCCCTTCACCTCATCTTGTTTGTTGTTGAGCAAATCGGCAATTTTTTTTTTTGGGGGGGGGGCACTTATACATTACTGTTGTCGTAAGTTTCCTTGCAAATTTGCAATCTGATGAAAAAAAAAAAAAAAAAGACCTACTTTTCTTTTCTGTTGCTTTGAGACTTGCGTCAGATTGTGTTGAGAGATTATATAAATAAGCAAGAATAATGTTTCAGGTTGTGTCATTGGTGTCGATATCTTGTGAATTAATTTTGGTTGTCGACAGTAGTTGCTTCTTGATTATCTTGTGTTGAAATCATTCACGCTCTATGACTTTTTTTTTTTTTTTTTTTTCAAGTAAAATTAGTTGGCATTTTAGCTAATGGAAGTTGGCTCTTCCTAGTGCTAAGGAACAGCGCAAAAACAAGGATGATTAGTTTCCTTACTCCATGACGTTATTTATAATCATACTTTTTGACTTTGTAATTTGTAATCTGGAAATTTGTTTAATAAAGAAGCTGACTCGTCTTTATGAGTTTTCAAGTATCATGTGGTTGATAGTAGTGGAACTTTAATGGGAATTGAAATAATATGTTGCTTTGATAGTTGAACAAGTAACGGGAAGGTTCAGAACGTGATCAACAGTGAAAAAGTATGTGAAAAATGAAAGAGGACAAGATTCTGTGTTATCACAGAGCATGCTGGGTGTAACAAGTAGTAGCAGAAAGCAAACTTATAGTTATGTCTGTATATGCAAATTGGGATTCATGGGTGGTTTGTGAGATAAAAAAAGGTTTTTATAACTTCTAATTTTGTCTTGAAGGGTGTTAGTCGCCAAAACGATCCAATTATATGTTGGATTTTCTGCGTAGTGCAGAGAATATCTATCCGGTCGCTAGAATTTCACAAAATGCATGTGTCGTTTTGTTGCTCAGCATATGGGTCTCCATTCCTTGGCAATAATGGAGAAAGATTATGGGTTGTTTTTTGCATTTTTGTGTTAGAGTGACTTGAGTGATGATTTTGAGTTGAGTGTGAGTTATAACTTGAGTTGAAGTTGTAACTTGAGTTAAAGTTGTAACTTGAGTTTGTGTTTAGATGTGCACATTTGAGTTATGATTTGAATTGAGAATGTATTTGAGTTTGTATTTGGGTGGATCAAAATTTAAATTTGTATTTAGATAGTATTTTAATAAAAACTCAATAGTGATGAAAAATTTTAATAGGTTATATGGGTGGAGTTTTATTTATCTTTTTATTGTGAATGTATAGAAAAAAATCATCTCAATCAGAATTAAAACGAAAAAGTTATGATATTTTTAATAATAGAAAAATATTATTTATTAACTTCAGTTTGAGTTTATAAACTCAAATTGAAGGGAAAATTTAAACTCGAGTTTAGTCCCAAACTCGAGTTTAACCCTAAACTCGAGTTCAAATTCAAATTTTATAAAAGAACATAAATTTAAATAAAGTTGTAACTCGAGTTTAAAGTTTTTTTGAGTTTCATCCCTTTTGTCTGTGCCATTTCTTTGTTCAATATATATGGTAGTTGATTTATATTCATTGCACGCCTTTGCGTGAAATTACAGTTTTTCACCTTGCAGTTCTTGGGTTTTACTGGTGGTATCTGTAACAAATAGCAAAGACCACCTGAAGTACAAATGCTTGATCTTTTAACTGATCTCTATGAGTTTAATATCAAAATCAAAAATCAATGTTGAGCAACGGAATAAATTAGTGGTTGCAACTTCAAATCCCATTACCGGGCAAAGACAATTTTTCCTCCTGTTTGTCATGGATTGAATCTTCTTTTTGAAGGCTTCCATTGTTGGATAGGCACCTCAGAGCAATTTCATAAGCCGAAAAAATTGCGCCATTTACCAAAAATGCTCTGGAAACCGCAGTTCCTAATCCTCGCCAGAGCACGCTGTATCCTTCCTCTCTAACGCTCTTCCGAAAGCAATCGACAATCCCCTTATACTTTGGAGGAGACTGAGATTGAGCCTGCAATCTGGTCTTGATAACATCTAGTGGATAGCAACAAATCCAGCTAGCAACTCCTGCGAGCCCTCCCGCGGTCAACATCGTCTTGAGGCTTTCTTGGCTGCTCTTTCTGCAGCCAGGATGAAGCTGCTCTCTCACGAATTCATACGTCCAAAAGTAGACACCATGTGCGGGTGCATCCCTTAGCATGGTTATGGTTAGGCCTCGGTACATTCCTCTCAAACCTTCTGCTCTCATTATGCTTTTGGCAATATTAATAGGGCCGTTGTGAGGTTGAAGAGCTTGATGATGAGATTTGGCTTGGCTTGTGCTCTGCAACTGAAGGCGAATCTTTACAAGTTCTACAGGGCTGAGCATTAGACTCTGCAATGCCCCGGTTCCAATTCCTCCTAGAGCCACTCCTTTGTGCGAAGGAGGGTCTTTAGGCGACACAGATGTGTCGAATGATCGAGAAAGGACCGCATATATCTGGAAAACCATGGCATTCTGCAATGTAGAAATAATTTGTCAGCTCGGTCTAAGCATGTTAAATGAATTGCTTGAAACCACTAACCAGAAAAATAATAGGAATATTCAAGTCTTAAATTGAAGATTTGCGCATTCATGACAAATATAGAATCGGCAATATAAAAGATTTGTTAATGAATCAGACAAAGATTCTCATAAAATAGATAGTGACATCCAGAAGTAAAACAAAATCACTTCTGGTCCTTCCAAAACTATCGCAAAAATATCTTGATGGCGTTGGTGTTGGGAAACAAAGGGGAGAGAGAAAAATCTATCTTCATAAACTAAAATATTTTCCAAAAACCATAAACACAAAATCTCTTTTCATTTTCACCCCCACCCCCAAACCAGAACAACAAAACTAAATCAACAGTAATCAAATCCAAATAGATGAAGAGAAAGATGACCTGAAAAGTGACAGAAGCCAAAGGAGCGGCCATGCCTCTGTACAGCGCACCAGGCCCTTCAGCCGAAACGACATTGCGAAGGATCCCAAACGCCGAACCACTTTTTGCGTTTTGTTGTTGTCGTATTCGAAGAGTATCTAAAGGATAACCAGAGATTATACCAGCTACGCCTCCAAAGCCTCCGGCCACAAATTCTCTTCCCCAACTGTTCGCCATAAACTCTGGCCAAAAATCCATCCTTTTTCTTTTTCTCTTATTATAACTTTATTTGATTAACTCTACTTAAGACTCGGATATTAAATCCCAGTTCTTCTTTTGCCTAACTCGCGTATTGAAAACCACTCAAAAGAATAACTATCTTTCTGATTTTCTGTTGCTTGCACGGATCAAACTCTCTCTCTCTCTCTCTCTCCTTCTCTGTTTGAACAACAAACTGAAACTGAAAAGAGAAAATATTTGGTTTTTTTTTTTTCTTTTCTTTTTTGGAAAAGAATTGACACCAAATTTCCTTTCTGGGCTCTCTTTTCGTGTCACCTAAGAGAATGCAAATTGAGTTATTTCTTTAAACAGCGTAAATCCCTTGAGGGCGTTTTTTCCTGGACTCCAAATAAGACGAAGATTTTTTTTTTTTTTTTTTTTGGCTCACTCTTGGCTTTCGCTGAGCTTTAATAACCTTTTATAGGGGAGAAAGGTAGAAGAAAAGAGAAGCAGAGTAAGAGTCAGAGAGCAACCTGAATTAGAATTAATAGAGACGAGTTTCACTCGACTTAGGAGAAGTCGGGAACGAAACAAACGTCACCGGTTGCTATTTTATTTTGTATGGACTGTACGGTCAGTGTCCTCTTTCCAATGGGTCAGTGAAAACTGCCACGTGGACCTGACGATGCATGCCACGTGTCAACACGGTCAGATGAGTCGTAATCTTTTAACCTACTATTTTTTTTTTGTTATTAACCAACGTGTTACGTGTTAACCCACTTTTGCTATCCTAAGAATTTTGAAAATATAAAAAATATTATCTCAAAAAATGAGCTATGTTATGAGACAGTGCATGTTTCAAAATATATAAAAGATGTTTTAAGTTCGGATGCCGATCAGCTCGATAAACAGTGTTGGATGGAGGTTATACCCGTAAAGGTACATGCTCCTTCGATTTTTGAAAACTTTTTTTATTAGATGTGTAGTTTTCTAAACCTTATATATATATATATATATATATATATATATATATATGCATCTCAAATTTTAGAGCCTTTGTTTTATTGCATGTCGTTTTTCAAAAAGTTTTATATATCCCCCTCATTAACAAGAATATATCTTATATATACCTCCTCAATAACGAAGCTTTTCTTTAATTTATTCTTATTATTATTATTATTTTTTAAAAATATGTCATTACTTAAATATTTATTTCCTTTCTAATTCATCTGTCATGTTGAAGTATTTTTTTTTCTTTTTCAAATATGTGCCTAATTAAACTTTTTTTTTTTTCATACGTTTTTGCTCCGATACAATTTGATCTTTATAAATATGGTGTACAATGTATTATTTCTAAATTTTTCTATCGAAATAATCTTTCTAATTATGTCTCCACTTAAACATGTTTTTTACAACAACCTTTTCAAATATTATTTTCTCTTATATACCCCCTATATAATTTGTTTTCAAATTTGTCACAGCAAAGAGATTTTTTTTTTTTACTAAATTATAGACATAAGGGAACAATAAATCAAGAAGAAAATGAACTTTTAAGAAAATTCTATTATCACGTGGCAAAAAATTCAGCAGATTGAATATTTATGTCCTTCCAACTATGCAATAGCATTAAGAGTTGATGATTTGATGGTTTTGAAGGTTTTTCATATTTTTAGCTTACATCCATTTGAAATAATATTCTGATTCTGCAACTGTCACTAGATGTAACTTTTTTATATTTGCGTGTAACATCATTTTTTTTTGTATGTGTATTATTTCGTTCGTTTTAAAAAATTGTCCAACACATATAATATGGAGTATTACACTTAAACACATTAAATGTTACACATATTTATAAATAATGTTACATGGGAATTAAAAAAAAATTACATTTTGTGGAACTTGTAAGGTTGTTAGATTAACTTTACTAATATATAGAGGTATTATATATATTTAAAAATTTATATATATAGGTATTAAATAATATTTAACAATATTTAAAAAATTATCCTATAAAATGAATAAGAAAACAAATAAAGAAAGAAAGCGCTATTTTAGTTAGAATTGTTGATCAATCAATCAATTCTAAAACGACCCTTTTGAGTGGTATGATGATGCGAGAAAAAGGCAAGCCGACGTTACTGAATGATTGATGAAAAATTCATATTTCATGGCTTTTAGGAAACATGTGAAGGATCCAGAATGAAGTGGCCAAGTGGGTCTACAGATCACGTCCTTATCTGCCAATTTGATAGGTTGGCTTTGTTATCAGTGTTCGCCAAAGACACGTCTCTTAGTCAGATGACATCACCATCGTTTAATTGAGACAGTTTGGAATACTCTACGGCCTTAGCACAAACTTGGAACGATAGTCTATAATCTAAGGTTGTTCTTTTTATTTTATTTTTGTTTCAAAAATTCGATCTTTTTTATTATTATCTTTATTTAAAAGTAACAATCAATACGAACTTCTATACCATAATAAAATATTTAATAATGATTTATTTTTTCTTTTATCACTCTAGAACCATGTGAGACGAAAGTCCACGCATGATTTTTAATGAGATGAGAAAAGGAAATAAGGAAATCCTCATTAAATTTTGTATGTTAGGTAATGTATATAAATGAATATTACTTTTAAATACTAAACACACGTTTGCATAATATATATATATATATATCCCACTTAAACCATTATAAAGATATATATTTTGATTTTTTTTTTTTCAAATCAACAATCAAATTGACACCTTTAAATTTTTCCTCTCATTTTTATCGTATTTTCCCGACTATAAGAAATTCCAGAAATGTGGCCCCGTAACTTATCTCTTTATTTGTACTAAAATATATATTTTTTAAATCGACAATACAAATCTGTTGAAATTTAGTGGCATAATACGTAATTTACTTAATCTTATATAGCTCCAAGCTTACTTTTATGCGTAAGTTTGATTTCAATCACTCTTTTAATTAATACCGTTTTAATTGATATAATTATTTGACTAAAAAGATATTATTCAAGAGTAAGTAGTAAAAATATAGACACATATACTTTAAAAGGATATTTGTCTCTTTTCTCATTTTTTTAAAAGAAAAAATGAGACAAATAGCCTTTAAAGTGCACGAATATAATTTTTAATACTTATTCTTGATTAATATTCTTTTAGTCAAATAACTGTATTAATCAAAAGATGATATAAATGTCAAACTGATGAATTTTAGTGGCGTAATACGTAATTTTCTCAACTTTATATATAGTACTGAACTTGTTCTTAAGAGTGCACGAGTTATGATTTTTACTCATCTCTTGATCAATACTCTTTTAATTAATATAGTTATTTGATTAAAAGAATATTAATTAAGAATAAGGGGTAAAAATATACTCATGCACTCTAATGAGTGTATTTGTCTCTTTTCCTCTTTTTGTTTTAAAAATGAGTGCTTGAATTTGAGTTTTAACTCTTACTCTTAATTAATATCTTTTTTAGTTAAATAATTATATTAGTCAACACACCCCCAACAACCCTAAAAGGAAAAAATAGAGAATTTACTTTTGAGAGTGTATGAGTATGAATCTTTACTCCTTATTTTTGATAAATACTCTTTTATTAGGGTAATTATTTAGTTAAAAATTAATAGTAAAAGATAAAAATAAAGAGGTATTCTAATAAAAAAGTATTAATTCAGACCACGCACTTTATGGTACTACTGGGCCTAATTTGAGTCCTCTCATTCCGGGCTTTCCGGGAACTTCCAGTTATTATTGAGCTTCAAGGCCCAGCGTAAGTTATATAGAAGAGCCCAACCAAGAGAGGTTCCAATCAACCTCGGCTTAGGGAAATCCATAGGCGGTTGGGTTTTGTGGTTGGTGTAAAGCGAGGAGGAGGGAGGAAAGACTAGAAAGGTCACAAGGAGAGAGAGTCACGCGCACAGACATAGAGAGGGGAGAGAGAGAGAGAAAGAGAAGCACGAATCCCAACCCACCAATGGCGTTGCGGACCCTCGCGCTGCCTTTGGTTTCCGTTCCCGCTGTCTCGCCGACATCATATTCTTCTCCTTCCTCGTCTTCACCGAGCTGTTTTCCCGTAACCAGTGGTTCGCCTCCTTCTCTTACTCTCACGCCGTTCCTCCGCCGCCACCGCCCAACGCCGCCAATCTTGGCCCATCGCCGGTTTCCTAGTCATGTCGTTCGCATGGCTCCCGAGGAGGAAAAGATGACTCGCCGCTCCCCGCTTGATTTCCCCATCGTAAGTATTGGATATGTATTTATTTAGACCTTGGTTTTTTATCTGTTCCTTTTTAGCTTAAAATCATTTGTTTGATTTTCTAAAAAAACAATATTATGTTGCTTATTGGACCAGGAATTTTTTAATTTCTGGATTAATTTCGCTAGTTATTTTCGGCTTTGCTTTGCTTGATAAGGTTCTGAATTTAGGTTTCTGATTTGTTTTGTTTTTGCTTGTGTAAAAGCTAATAAATTTGCTTTATTTGAATTTTGGCTGAATCTAGGAAGCTTGAGTGGACTTTTGATTAGGTTGATGCTACATGTAGTAGAAACTTATGGTATTTTAGTGTTTCATTCTTAATAAGTGAATTAGATGAATACTTTAGGAGAGCCGGTATTCAAATATACCACTTTTGTGAAATATTTATATCTAATTTACACATACAAGTGATACGGGGGAATAACTTGACTTCAAAAGTGGGTACTCAACCTAATTTGCACCCACAATAAGAGGGTTTCGTGTTTACGACTTGTCAATGGCTATCTGTTATTTAAATTCCTGAATTATCTTTTTGCTGAATTATCTCTAGGACTATGGAAACATTGTCAAGATAGTATTGGATGAAGTTTGGACCTTGATAGAATGAGTGGTTAAAACATGAGAGAAGGAAGAAGAACCAACTGTATTCATATCACGAGAGCTCGAAGATGATTCAATTCCTTTCTGTACGTTTATCCTCTTTACAGAAATTGATTTTCAATAAAAATTCCTTTCTGTACTTTTGCCTGACCAGTTGCTAAAATCGTTTTCATGGAGAGAATGAAACTTTTTACACCATGGTTCTCAGGGATGGACACTACATTGTATACATCTTATTTTAGGCTTTGGTGAATATCCGAGCTTACTAAAAGGGATAGAAAATTTTGATCATATTTAGTTACACGTCATGGTTTAGTGTCGATGCTTGGTTTCAATGGCAGGCATAAATTTTTGAGTGTGTTTTCATCCGAGGATGTTTGGCGGTGCATTATGCTAACAATTGAACTTCGCTTAGTTGTAGATTTCATATCATATTTCTCTCATGTTCTTACCTCATCCAAATTTACTTGATGTTGCAGGAATGGGAAAGGCCTAAGCCTGGAAGGAGACCAGATATATTCCCCCAGTTTGCCCCATTGAAAACACCCTTGCCAATTCCAATGCCAGCAGATCCTCCCGAAGAAGATGAGGAAGAGGAGGAAAAGAAAGAGGAAGAAGAGGAGGAGGATCCAGAAAAGGAAAACCCAGATAACCCTGAAAAGCAGTAACTATGTACAATGGCATGGGAGTTGTCTTGAGTGCTGTTCAATTGTTGTGGCATTAGTTAACATGATACTGAAGCTCAGTAAATGTTGCTAACAATATGCAGACGCAACATAGAATGGCTCAGAAATCATATTCTAGTGTCAAGAAAGTCTTGATGTTTGCATAGAGTAGCTGTGTTTGTGCCACCCACTTCAAGGAAGTCATAATTTTGAGTAGGCGTAATCTTCTTTTTATGAGCAATCTTAAGTTTTGTGTTCTACGATTTATTTTTTATAAAATCTGTCTATTTGAAGTTCGTTTCATCTTTTTTATCCAAGTTTAGAGTCCATTAGTGGAAATGATCTATGTTTCGCGGTTCAATATGGCGTGTCACTTATGTCATCCAACTTTCCGTGCACTTGCTGCACGCTGCCTATTAAGTATGAAACTCAAAAGGGAACCAATTTTGAGTTTGTGGGTTTTTATTTTTAGCTGGAATAAAACAAAATTGAATTTTAAGCACAGGAAGATGAAAATTGAACCCCCCAAGTTGGGAAGTCATTACAGGGTTGCGCACCTGTTCCAATATCAGTTCAATCAACACTAGCAAGTCTTTTATTGATCATAGGATGTTCTAAGACTTGAGCCACGGGACTTGGCATTTTCACAATCCACCCGCGAAAATGTTTACAGGGCCCGTTTAGTTCACTGATTTGAATTTTTAATTTGGGTTGAGATGTGATTTTATGTGAGAACTTTTTACTGTAACAAAAAAATTAAATATGATTATTTATGAAAATTTTTTACTGTAGTAAAACTTAAATTCTAAACTCAAATTAACGAAATAAACGGAACCTTAAAATATCCCCACACACACAAAAAGCCAACTTTGGTTTAAACACGATTACTTTGACAAAGAATTAACGACATTTTCCCAGGTTCTTTGTGACAACAAACATAAACTTTAGTCAATGGTGCCCATCAATATGTGTGAATTGTTTAATTATTTTTAATATTTTGTTCATGTTTATATGGTTTGTAAATAATTAATTGAGAGAGAGCCACCGAGACGGGAGACGGAAGACGAGGACAATAGATATGGACTCAAAACCATTTGATCTTAGTACCATATATATAACTGCGGGACACAGAATTAAACAAGCACAAAATATACTATAAAAAAAAAAAAAGCCAAATTCATTTATTTAAGCTTATAAGCTTGACACTAGCACACAGTTAAGAAGCAAAGTCAGTAACATAGGACACCCATAAATTGGAAAATGGAAAGGACGTCATTGCGACAATGATTATAGTACAGCACAAGAGAATATCATATTTGAATTGAGGTTTTGAACCCCTTATTTCTTTCCACTTTTCTTGAGCCCAGAACCTCCAAAAGCTCCCTTCTGCTGTGCCTTGGCTTTAAGATCCTTAAGCGCCTTCTCATCATAAGAATCATAATCAGATCATTATTAGAAAAGGAAACACTCCATGGAGAAAACAAAACACGAAGAACCAGAAAAAAAAAAAAATAATAACAATAATAATCTCACCTTTTCCTCGTCCTTCTTTTTCTGAAGGTTAGCCAAGTCAACCTGAAACGATTTCGACACAATTCAAACTCTCACGATGACTTCATAAATATATTTCAAACAGCATTCAAAAACAAAGTTGTATAACTTATAAAGCAAAAAAACCAGAGTTTAAAGAAGCAGATGGTCAGTAGACTACCAAAAAAATAGAATATAAAAATATAGAATAAAATTCCAAATAACGCATAAGTGATTCTAGTTATCCCTCAATATTTATAGGCGAATTTGAATTTAAGATATGATCGTTAACAAAACAAAAGAGAAGTAGCAATTAAACTACAAATCCATCTGAAGATTAACCAAGTAAATTTAAGAGCACGCTAAGGAGTTAAAACTCAAAACCCATAAGGCTAGATTCCGTGGCTAAGATTAAATTAAGGTGGTTCAATGATTAAGAAAAAATCATACAGATTAATAACATAAACAAGGAAATTATTAGGAAATTATTTCACGAATAAATAAATAGATATACGAAGTTATAAAATTCAATAAAATACCTCATCGTAATCCTTCTTATCAGCCTTGGGTTGCTTCAAAGGCTTTGCTTTTCCACCTACAAAATAGGAAATCAAAATTTAATGTATATTTTTCCAAAACTCAACATATCGAACAAAACTTACGAAAGTCAAGCCTTTTCTTTTCCCTCTTTTCAGATTGACAATAAATTAGCTAACAAGAAAAAAAATTGACGATAGAATCTGGAAAATAATGTCGGGTGTACCTTGCTTGGACGACATGGCTGTTAATTAAGATCTGGGCTAGGGTTTGGTCGAAATCGGAAAGCCAAGGGAAAAGCTCCGAAGAAAGAGAAACTCAACCCTAGGACTCAACAATACGCAACCTTGAAGGTAGTGGTTTACAGGTCTCCTACTAATCTATTATATAGAAAAAGAATGACATGATTGCACGCCCTTATCACGTGATTATCTTTTGGCTATAATATTTTCCACTAAAAAAAGAAAAGATATAATATTTTTCCCATAATGCTCGAGGTTAAGCGATATGTTGGCTTAGTTTAATATTCTCGTAGATTTTGAAAAAATTATTTTTAACTGTTGAAAGAAAAAATAATTATTATAAAAATTAGTTAAATATTTAATAAATTATAATTATAATAATTATATTAATTTTAAAGTTAGTGTAATAACGTTTGATAAATTATAAAATTAAATTGTTGTGGATAATTAAAAATTACGACTATAATATAATATAATATAATATAATATAATATATATAATTATAACATAATATATATTTATTATTATATTTAAAATAATACAAACAATATTATTATATAATATATTATATAATTATGATATATAATATA